GTACAGAGACAGTATTCCCCAGAAACAGGAAATTTGAGAGAACCAAACAAACCTGGATTGTTTTTTCAAGTAACCAAAGAACTTCTTACACATTACCTAGTTGTAATCCTGCTACAACAATCCTATAAAATCAATATTGTGTTTTGTAGGCTGATGTGGCGAGTGGTTTTAAGGTTGAGAGGGTTGCTTGCATAAGCAGAGATTAATTCACAGAAGGCTGCCCTTTCTCATTGAACTACAACATATTGTATATGCTTAATGTTTTAACCAAAATCTTTTCTTAAATATGAGACCACAGGACTTTTAAATCATCAGAAATTTTTAAAGAACTTTCCCTATAAAGAATATTGCTATAATCAGAAAGATAAGTCCATTTTGTTTACTATTTAAAAAGAACCTGGTCACTGTTGCTACTTGGGTAAGAATCAGGAGCTGTTGCAGACTTCAGATATTGCTCCTTAGAGAATAGAGTGAATTGCATTTTCTGCTTCTCGTAATTGCTCATCATCTTCATTTATATAATGTTTGATTTATCTTTATTTTAATTATTAATCTTATCCAGCATACTGTTTTGGGAAAGTATTGCTTCTCTTGAATTTGATGGAAAAGTAGAAATGTATCTGCATTTTGTCATTATTGATACCTATACATTAAACCAAGAAATGGTTTGACTTCACACTGTACTTTATGCCATAATGTAATTGGTTTGCTTTGGGCTTAGCATAGCTAAGGATTATAAACTCAGTTATTGGGATTTGTGAAAAACCATTTATGGCATAATATGGTGTTTGACCCAGTCAGTTGTAGTTTATATGATAGACCAGGGATAAAGCCAGAATCAAATTGAACTACTCTATGATTTAATGCACTATTGTATTAATCAAGTTTTACCATTGGTTGATTAATTAAATTTTAAATGCATTAATTACAGCAATAATCCAAATTGGATTCAATTCCAGAGTAGAGCTATGGCTGTGTTTTTGTGATGAACTATATGATTTAGCCATGTTATATGTTTTTAACCTGATTTTTGGGTTTTGCAGATATAACACACAGTATACTTGCACACATTTGCTAAGGAATATGGTGATTTAAGCCCCATGGCACTTACAAAAGAGTCTGTATATCCTCATATTACACTTTCCATGCTGCTTTTTGGTGTGTTAGCACCAGCCTTTATCTCACAGAACATCTGTCCCTAATTTTCAAGAATAGTGGCACCTTCTCTGACTTTTCTCAATAATGTAACCTAATGGGGAGCATAGTAAATTCATCTGAAAATGAGTGGCTAATTCAAGATGTAGATTCAATCCTTTTATTACATATATCAAGGTCAGTGAATTATTGGTAATGAAAGACAAACTGAGCAGGGAAAACAAAACAAATTTGGGAAAGTTGTTGCTTCAGTACCACTGGGCTTCTGACTATAAGCAGAAATTTGTCCAGCCCAAAGGAAGATATGAGGGACATATACTGGTCCTATTTCCTGCTTCCCTCTGACTCCTACGTTCAGTCTATTGGCAGAAGGCTAAATGGGTAAGCAACATTTGGCTGCTTTGAAACGGGCCAAAATTTGAACTCTGATGAGCAGCAAGGGAAGGACAAGGGAACAACTTGGATGCCTGTTGGTGAGTAGGGCCGGCTGAGGGGTGCAAGTGATCAAGGGGTGAGCCCTCTTTCTGGAGGAGGGGCCTTTAGGGACACACTGGTATGGAGACTGGGGTAGCAGTTTTCTTTGCAGGCCACAGTTAACCTTTGTTCCCCCTGCCCACCTAGCAAAGTGGCAGGTAGTTCCAAAAAGCCAATGGAAAAAAGCTGGCAGGAAGTTGCTTCTGCTCCTACTGCTACACCCATTTGTCTGGTGACCCAACAGAGAAGTGATGATTGTGTACTACTCTGTTGGAAGAGTGATCTCTGATGTTCCCTGCCAGCTTTTCACAAGCAACACCAATGAGAAAGCCAGTGGAAGTTGCTCCCACACCTACTGCTTTTCTGCTCACCCATTGGTCCATTCCATTGTTTCCTCCCCCTCCCCCAGCAAAGTGGCAAGCAGTTCCACAGGTCAGCTGAGGAAGAGGAGTGATTTCTGACACTTCTTTCCAGCTTTCTACAAGCAAAATCAATTGGGGAATCTGGAAGGAAGCTACTCCCATTCCCATTGCTAAATATTTCCAATATTTAGATACGTCCCTCTATCAAATGTTGCAGATTTTTATTCAACTGATTCAAAATGGCAGCATATTCTGTCACATCTATTACAACCTTATTTGTTTATCTTCAGAAATATGTCCAGTTCAATGAGAATTAGTTCTGGGTAAGTGTGAATTCTATTTTGCTTCTCTAGATATTTCTCTGTTGCCATAATTCCTATTATGAAATGGAGTACAAATAACATCCACTAGTTTTAAAAATAATTTTAATTGCAAAAGAAAAAAGTACAAAGTAAAATAGCTAAGCAAAGCCATTCCCAACATAAGTCAGTTTTAACAAACTCTAATAAGTTTTATAACTTTTTTCTACCTCTTAGAATATCTATAAATTTTAACATTTAACAAAGCATAGGATACATGAATAAGTATTAATTACAAGGATTTGTTCTTGTTTAATCTTATAATTTCTTCACTAAAATATCTTAATTAAACCTAATATACTTTGATTTTAAATATGCAGAACAAATTATTTTTGGCATTGAACTTAGTCTTTGAAAGCTATGCAATATGTTCTAAAGATATCTTAGAACAGTTTTCATGTTAAAATTGGAGAATTATGTCAAATTATCTCATCCACCTATTATTTTTATTAATAGCTTTGATATTGCTTGGAATAATTTATCTTGGTCTATATCTTTTGCTCAATACTGCCACTTAGTGGCAATCTTCCCCCCCCCCCCAAGAAAATATCTAGTTGCTCTATTAAAAAATAAACCAGGAATAAAAACATGATACCTATTATAGTATACTTTTTTCTAATAAAACCAAGCAATCCCATTTCAATTAATGAAAAACATTTTGCTCGATAGGAAAAGCTACTGTACATAGTATTATTAACCAAATACTGCTTGAGCCCTTTATTGAAAGGAAAATCAATATAATGTACCTAACTGAATAATTTTAACCCCTTTCTTATGAGGTAGGTGTTATTATTTCTGTCCATAGGCAGAAAGATTAACCTACATAAAAGCAAAAAAACCCCCACTTTTTCATGTTATTGAATATAATATCTTAAGGTAGCCGAGCAAAACAACATTTATGTCAATATGTTTTTGGCTTCAAGTGTAATAATTCTACTATTTACTAACAATGGCCTCTGCTATTTGATAGGGTTTAAGACAACAATATAATGATTTCTCCAGACAATTATTGGTTATCTCTTTATGTACAAATTTGTGTTTAACATAAAGGAATTTGGGAGTGATAAAGGGGGCCTTTAAAATATAAAGTTTAGAGCATCCCTGTAATAGGAACATTATAATAGAAATCATATTGCTAAAATAAGTTTGGGACATCCAAGGGTTTTGAGAAATTGTATTTAAGAAACTGTTTGAATTCTCCCTAAAGCAATTTTCTTCAGATAAAGTATATATTTCAAAATAGATGACTAATTATTAGAACAATTTTCAAAGTAAAAGCTGTAAGAGCTTTGCAGGAGCTTGGTTCACCATGCAAGCCAAAATGAATTCAGTATACAGCAGTGTCATTCCAGTTTGAACCATGCCAGTCACTTTGATTTAAAAAACAGTTGGAATTTGTCAACTAACTTTATCAATGTTTTGTAAATAGTAAATTAAAGTATATCATCCATTTCTGCGCCATAGGAAAATGTGTTAAGTCACATTTGTTACATACTTAGTGTTAAACTGTAAAACTATCATAAACACACTGAGAATATACTAGAGAAATGGGCACAGAACTAGTTTTCCTAACAATTGGATTGTGTTAAAGGGAGCATTTATGGAAAACAAAATTCAAATTATAAGTTTGAAAATAAATGCATCCAAATCAAAATAATGTATATTAATATACTGTATGTTTAGATGGTGAAACAGTTTTGGTTGGCACGGGAATAAAATAAGCTTTCACATGCTTCAAGCAGAGAGGTGCTAATGTTATTGAAAACATTAAGTCCTACCATAGTTCAAGAAAGCAAAACGTATCAGGAAGGTAGGAGAAATCCCTTAAATCATCTGGCAAAGATTGGAAGCAACTCATATGCTGACCCTTGGCTTCTAGGCTTGAGGTGCAGAGTACACTCCCCCCCGCCCCCCCAAATAAACAGATTCTCCAGTAGAGTCCTTCACAATGATACATAATGTGCTGTTGCTTTTTTGTTACCACCCCAGTGAAAACACCAAGGGAGCCCTACATTTTAAGCATGGAGAGTTTTTGTTCGCTCTTTTTCTATTTCAACAGGGTTTTTTTATGGAAAAAGCAGCAGCAGAAATACATGTAAGAAGTACAAAGGCAAGACATTTCTCTGGATCCCAAAAACTCATTGAAAGGGTTGATTAAAGTCTTTTCACAGGTAACTTTTCTCAAAAGTAGCCTTTGATAAGTCTGATAACTCTTGTATAAACTATAGATTGAGAGATCTACTTATTAGATTATTTCCATCTACTATTATATTATTTACATAATTTACCTTAGATCCATAAAGTGGATTCTGTATACTGTAATTCTCCTATAATCGATTCCCCCACTTTTATTTTTAACATTTATCAGATCATATTCAAAAGGAGCTAAAAATAAGAGGTTTTTCCCCTCTGCTATAGAGAAGACTTTATCTGATATTGCTTCAGAAATACATCTGAGGAGAATTTACTGGTTTTTTTCAGCGCCTAGCTAGGGTGGATCTTCCATGTTAAATTTATTTGATCACTTTTTCCTCTTTTTTTGTTACACTATTTTTCTTCTTTTGTTATTGTTAGTGTTGAATGTATGCTTTTGTTTTTCTGTTTTGTATTTTACTTTTTATGTTGAAACAATAAATATTTTTAAAAAGAAGTTACATTTTCTAGTTCTAGTTCTAGAATACTTCTGATTATTTTTTATTTTTATTTTACAAATAACTGAAGTTGGTAAATATATCTAACACACCTTCTTCCTTCAATTTTCCCCACAATAACAACCCTGAGAGATGGATTGGGTTATAAGTGACTGATCCAAAGTCACCCAGTTGCCTTTCAGGGCTAAGGTAGGACTTGATTATAACAAATATGATATTTTTAAAATTGCAGACATTTTATAACAGATATGTTCAAGGCTGCCTATTAGCAATCTTTGGAGAAAAAACATTTTTAAAGTGCACATAGCACTATTAAAAATATTAGTACTACGATAATCATACCAGGATAAAATTTATTTTTTTTTAAAAGGTGCAATAAGCTCTAGGTGCAATAGACTAATAGACTAAGTCTTTGAAATAAAATTTTCTTTCAACTATATAGGATTTTATTGAAAAATATTTGGTAGTGTAAAAAATGTACATCATAGTAGAATTTATCTTATGCAATAGGTCCTTCCAGATGAATATTATATAAATTCATTAGTAATAGTCCTCCAGGCTTTCAGATTATGGCTTTTTTAAAAAATAGCTGGAATCTGCTGGATACTGAATTTGAATTTTTCCCTTCAATTGCTTTGAACCTTTTGCACAGATTTATAACCCAGAAAATTGTTAATCTACTTGGGGCTATGGGGCAAAACTTTCATAGTCAAAATGAAAATTATATTCTAACTTAACAAGCTAGATAAATACTAATATCAACTCTTAACACATTGTTACTGTAGATATTTCATAGTTGTCTGATGGCATTAAAAGGGAACCCTCAAGCCCAACTTACTTCAAATCTTTAGCATGCAAATTAAACTGTAAATGATATGTTAGACTGACTATAATTCTGCTACTACAGTATCATCATCATCTTTCTACCCAGAATTCCCAAGATATATATTCAAGGATACACACACACATAGGAAAAATAAAATCTTTTAGTGTATTTTTACAATGCACAATTATTAGTATTGTGTTATCAGAAATAAGCTAAGCACTTAGGAATTGAACATTGTAATTCCTAACTTGTTCAATTTGCCCAAAGTATGCTCATATTCAATCACTTAAATTAAAACAGTACTTTAAAGATGAATGCAAAACATGTCTTTCAAAGGAAATTGAGTTTAAGCTGTTCTATCACCACATGAGAAATGGACAAAAATTTATCACCAATCCCTTCAGAACACAGAAAAATCCTTATACACATTGGCACTAAAATCTGCTGCAGAAGCATTTTCAGACAGCCATGTTCATATAGATTTTTGGTGGTGGTGAACCAGGTGCCTTAGAAAAACATCCATTAAAAAATTAACCTGTAGGACTGAACAAAAAGGTATTTTCACAAAAAGTCTTCTCATTTGCAATTCACATATAATACCACTTAAAGTGTGTTTGTTGTAGACTATTTTCTCGGTTCCTGAACTGAATCATTTCATCATCAGGAACATTTGCTTATATGCAGTATTAAACTACAGTATTCTGTTCGTTGCTTGTAATGTTAGCATATGCTGATTGATTGATTGGATGATTATACACCAGCAAGTTTTTGTCAACTCTTGGAGACGATATAGATTTTTCCATGATGATCTGTCCCTAACCTGCTTCTTCAGGTCTTCCAATAATGCACCTATCACTACTGTAACTAAATTCATCCATCTTGCTGCTGGTATTTCATTTCCTTCCATCGTTCACAGCATTTTCATCTTCTCTAGAGAGCTAGGTCTTTCAGTGATGCATTTGAAGTAGAATAGTTTGAACCTACTCAGTTGTACCTCAGGTGAGAATTATGGGTTTCAATTGTTTCATAATCCATTTGTTGTTTGTTTTCCTGACTGTCCATGGTATTCTAACAAGTCTTATCCAACACAAAAGTTCAAAAGAAGCAATGCTCTTTACTAGTCTGATTTCAAATTACAATTTTCACTTCCAGAAAAATGTCACAGAAATATGATTACCTGCACTATTCTGATCTCTGTAGGTATGCACACATCCTAGCATCTAAGTATCTTTTTAAGGTCTTCATGGCTACTAAGTGCTAGACTGTATTCCTTGATTGCTTGTTTCTTTAATGTTCACCCTAAAAGGCAGACGCTTTCTACCACTTCATTATCACTTCTAAACAGATTGTATCTGTTGTCACTATGGCATTGTTTTATCACAGAATCATAAAATGAAAACACCTCTGATTGAAAGTCCAATCTCCTACTCACTGCTGGATTTGCTAAAACATTTTCAACAGGTGGGCATACAGTCTTCATTTGAAGACCTTCACTGAGAGGAATATACTGCCTCATGAGAGGGAGCCAATTTTATACCACTAAGAACCATTTAAAGAATTTATTGTAAATGTTTCCTTTATACAAATGAGGATTACCTTTTAGCTTATTTTTTTTTAAGAACAAGATTCAAAATAATGGGTAAGGGAATAAGATATATTGCCTGCATCTTCCAGGACCTATTTTGTAAATGTTAATTTTTTTACCTGATTTTTTTTATTTTTGGAAGAGTTTTGTACGCATTTTGTCAATTGATTTTCATTTTCTACACTTCAATTTAAAATACTTTAATTTGATAGGGCTTTTCTATCAGCTATAAATTTTAGGTCATTCACTTCTTTGATTTAAGTTTGGAAAACATATTCCAATTTCTCTTTTATGGAGGGGGATTGTTCATTTATTAAAGCATTAATGCTTTTTGAGAAGAATTCTAGTAAAATTACATCCCCCAAAATCCCCATGAAGAACAACTATGAAAACAAACGGGCCATCTCTTTTCTATATTATACTTTAAACCAAAGAAACATGAATTTGATACTAGATTTAAATAAACTCTTGAAAATTCCATATTATTATCATTCAGTATTCTATAATGCATATAAATATCTGAAGTCAGCTAGAAATAATCTAGAAATTGTCAGTTACTTCTGATACATCAAAAAACTGAATATTAGTATACAATTATATTGTAATACAAGAAAGAAGCTGAACATAGCATCTAAATAAGAAAGGGAGGAGGAATAATCCAAAATAGAAAAAAATCCTCAAGTATTTATTGATTGTTTTTAATTCTTTTTTTATATATAAATATGAAGCTGTTCACCTTTATCCAGTCTTTGTTGTTTCTTTACAGGTTCCATGAATGTCTGCACAAATTCTATGTATACCCCAATAGTTAGGAAAATTATCACATTAGAGAAACAAATAATATATCTTGCATAATTATGTTTTTGTTTCAGATGTTGGTACTTTATCAAATAACATTATTGTTTCCTCAAATGTAAGAACTGAAGTCTTGTGTTTAATAATGGTAGACTTTGAGGGCAAATCTCCATTCTTACGCTGAAAGATGCGAAATAACTAAATTATCTGACTTTTCTCCAATTTCAGACATAGATAAGAATTCATCTGTTTCATAATCATCTTCAAAGGAACTACAAGAAATGAATAAAAAGATTAACACTAAAATGGTATGACTCAATTTCTAATATTCAAATGACACTAATTTTAGAAAATATAAAGACAAATATAATATAAAACATAGCCCTATGAAACATAAAGACAAAGCAAATCTGAATTACTAAATAGGAGAACTGGTAAATACAGTTGAGTGTAAGTAAAGGATTCATATGAGGATAGTTCAAGACACATGCTATGATAATTTATAACATTCAACTGTAAAAATTGCAAAAAATTTTGTAGCCATTTTCTTCACCATTTAGCCATTTTCTCCTTATACTTTTTGTGCATGCCCTTACTTGCACATTTAAAGTGACACAGTATAAGTTTTGCAAAATTAATAAGGAAAACCACTTCCCAAATGACTGATTTGGGAGGGGTAGTCTCTTTGTTTGGTTATCAAACTTTTTAATTGCCCATCTCCCTCATAAGTGTTGGGTTCAAATGACACATGAAGAGGCACACAACTTTTGAAGATAGTTCCTTTATGCACCTGAGATAAACTAGCATCTGAGCTTTTTCCACATATGTAAGTGATCCTAGAAGTGCATGCAAGTGTCATTCCTTATTAGTATAGGATTGGAGAAGGAGAATATGCAAATTCCCAAAACACAGATTATTATCTGGTTTCTAGAATAAGCATGACATAACAAAGTGTCTAATAAGAGTGCTGGAGAAGAAAAATACGTTTGGTTGATAACAAACGGGGTGCTTTCAAAATGACTACACTACTTTGAAATACTGCCTATTTTCATTCAAGCTTACCAAAATTAGTCTGTAAATTAAGGCTGAGCTTCCTCATGGTGACCCAGTTCCAGGATGTTTTTTCAACTTTACAGTCTGGCATTAAATTAATAAGCAGATCAAACCACGCTTAACATTTTGAAATCAGCCAAGTTAGGCAAGGCACTACCAAAAACTCATAGCATTCCAAGTTTAGTTACAAACAGGACAGTCCTTTTTTCTAATGTGGATTGAGATCAGGGCCTCTAAAATATCAAGTCTCTTGATCTGAGCCTCTCATTTAATCTGTTTCTTGTTTAACTTCATCAGGATTTTGTTCTTATATTTCCATCCTATTGCAAACATCAAGATGAAATTATTTATTTTGGTCATAAGACTGGTTCATAATTTCGCACACTGCATTCAAAATAACTTCCAGGGACTCCTATTGATTCTGGAATGGTAAGGATTGTATGTGTTTTGCAAGGTCTAAGGAATAAGGTTGCGAGGTTGGGTTTCTTTTTTCATCTTACCACTCTAGAGATCTTTAATTAGCCATTTGATTTTGACTCTGAGTAACATTTTTTTTCTTTTAACATGGTTTGTCAATTTAACTTTATTTCAAAACACTGCTAGTTTCAGTAATGAGTTTCAGCACTCGGAACAGCAATTTTAAGATGATTTTGCTCACCCTTCTTGTAACTGTACACTGCCAGACTCCTCAGCTACAAGAATTTCATATTCCTCAGCAGCATATCTGTCCCAATCAGAGGGTTCTGGACTATCATTTTCAACATCCTAGATAAAAATGGAATAGAAAGAAACAGATAAAATGCAACAAGTCTTTTAAAGATTATGACCCTGCATAATTGTAAGTATCTGCAATAAATAGTGTAATAAACTATTAGTAAGCATTTAAAGAAGATTAATTGCATACTTTTTGGTAATTATCTATAAATGAAATATCCTGCAAATATCATGGTAAGTTCCTAATCAGGTATACAAAATAATTAAAGCTTAACGATCATGTTTGTATGTATCTCAAATTTAGATAAGTCAATCCAGAGTGTCTTAATTCATTTCAGCTAAACAATCAGTCCCACAGGTACAGGTAGTCCTTGGGGTCAATTTGTTCCGCAACCAAAGTTATGACAGTATTGAACAAGGGAGACCTATGATCTGTCCTCAGATTTCCAACAGTGCTAGCATCCCCAGAATTAAGTGATAATGATCTGTGTGCTTAATGCCAGGGTGGTGATTACATGGCAGTGAGCCACAGTCATAGAATCACAATTTTCAAGTTCCTTACTGGCTTTACATAAGGAGTTAATGGGGAAGCCTTCACGAAGTTGGAAGTCACAGTCATGAGAAGACCTCACTTAATAATGACAACCAGGACTGATGTCAGTAAGGACACAATCACGTAACTTTATGACTATCTTGCTTAGTGACAACAATGCTGGTCACAATGTAAGTTGAAGGCTACCTATTCAAGAAAATGCAAAGTATTGAAATTATTTATATTTAAAAATATTAAGGAAGAGAGACTTTAGATTCTTCATTAGTATATTTTAAAAATTAGTTTAGTCATGATACAGGAGTTGTTTCAAAGATTTAATCTTTGACTTAAGGAAAAGGTTGCAGAGTATTTCTGATCTTGCCATCCTTTCAAACTGAAACAATTTTGAATGTTTACATAACACATTAAATCATTTATTAGATATGCATACACCTACACAAACATACTGCTACCTTTTCATCAACCTCATATGGCTCCTTAACCATATTAACTTGCCCAAAGCCAAGGGGTTATGGTTTCAGTCAACAGTAACTGAAATCTGGAAACATGATTTAAGCATTGGTTTAATATTAACAAATATTAACAGAAAATGGTATTGTTTGGTTGTTATTCTACATTTCACAACAGAAAACCCTCTGGTCATGATTAATGATTGCATATCTTACTATCTTCATTACAGGAACTCAGTCTAAGAAAATAAATGTCTTTTTTAATTTTTAATTTTATATTCAACATTAAAATACAAACTCCCAAAACTAAACAAGACGTTTAAAAAAATGCACAGAAAAAATGTGTGCACACATAGGTGTAAGTAATAGCATGTAACATGTCACATATATATATTACCCTCTCATCCTGTTTTTCCCTATAACTACCACCATGTGATGTAATTTGGCTGAGATAGAATAATTAGCCCAATGTGGTAGGTACACAAGACTGAGGAAACAAAATCTACATATATTTCAGTAAGATATCTTGTAATGCTTGTCTGGGATAAATACAGACTCTTGGAAATTAAAATGAATTTCCCAGTCTCATTTGTAGTTAAGGAGTATAATCAGTCAGATTTCCCCTCATTTGCATTGAGTTGCTATTTATGAAATAAGCTACCAATTGACTCATTCAATGTGTTTTATCCCCAATCTCTCATATCTAAAGTCACTCAGAATCTAAATGAGCATGAGAGTTGAAGATGGAATAGTTTTTGACCTATATATAGAATTTATGTAAATATATGACAGCTACTCAGTTTCAAGTCCACCAAGCACAATTCCATGCATTTATACTACTGTGGGCATTTGTACCCTCACCGATGGCCAGTAGTGTTCTGTATGGTTGCATTCTTCGCTCTTGCTGGCAATAAAATTCTCATCTAACTGAATTGTCTACACAGTTTAGCCTTGGACAGAAGCTAAGCTGTGAAGCTTTGTGATTTTCCACCTTGTCCTAGTAAGAGGAGGCTGACCATGAAGCATAACTGAAAGCAATACAGATCAGACTCTACAAGCCATTTCACAAACAATCCAAAAGGTTGCAATTCCAGTAATCAATGTTGGTTTCATCCCAAAACTTTGAGAACAGATATATCAATCACTAAATTCAGTACTTCCTCTTCCTCCATCCTGCCTCTCTTCCACCAAGGAATTTAAGTGTTAAAATGAAATGTAATATCTGTTTTTTTGCAGTACGGTACAGATCCAACATGTGTATCAGAGCAAAACACCACCAAAACTTTTAAATAAAGAGCCTGTTAGGAACATCGATTTCACCTTCAGTAAATGATAACTACCCCAAATTGTCACTAACGGCAGTAGGCTCAGGCTTTACCACTAATGAGATTAAGCAATCAGATATAATAATATCAGTTTAGTAAGAGGTGCAGAAATGTATGCCAGGGTACAGTGTGATGGCTAATTTGCTCTGGGTCATAAGAGTATAACGCAATGTGCACTTGCCTTAATGTTCATCTGCAGACATTGTCATGGAATTTATACTACTAGCCATTCCTGCTCAATTAGATAAGTGTTCTTGTTACTTTTCTCTATAATGTTCTAGTTTTTCCTTTAAGTAATCATTACTTTGAAGTAGAGCTGCTTTATACCTTTTGCACAGCAAAGGGATCCCGTTGTTCATTGTCCAGATACTTTTCAAGGTTAAAGAAAGTATTATAAAATACATGAGCCATTCTACATCTCTTCAAATCTCGTAGAGTAATTCTTCCTGAAAAACCACCATATTAACTATCAGTATATTAATCATCAGCATATTAACTATCAAACCAACAGTTCTTAGTGGATTGGAATAAAGGAACCCCTAGTTCATGTCCCATAACAATGACTAAAAATTTGTCAAGGAGAGCAAGGAGTAAGAGAGTATTTCTAAGCTGAATTACATGTTTTGCAGTATGCTTACTTCCAAAACAAGTTGATTGATTTTGTAAATTCAGTTTGCATCAGTGGGCCACCAACCTGGTCATGTGAACTTGTCACAAGCCTTTTCCATGAATTTATGTAAAATATCATTTTGTATAGATGCCAAGTAAATTGTTTGACTTCTGTTTACAAACAAAGAAACTTCTTACCTGTAATTTGAAACATAGCTACCGCTAGTAGGAAAACATTACATAGCGGCTCTAACATTATTATTACAGGTATTCCTTGAGATACAACTGTAATGACCCTGCCCATTATAATCACATGTTATGACAGCCATTAAGTGAATTGTCTCATTAATGATTCCCCCCGCCCCCCACATCCCTGCTCTCCCCAATGAATCAGTTAAACAAATATGAAGGTTGTTAAGTGTATTATGTGGTGCCTCAGGGGTACAGGATGCCCTTGGAGATCTAGCATAGAAATCTATATTGGGGCACTGCTAAGAATGCGGTGGGGGTGGAGATGGAAGGGAAGGGAAGGGAAGGGAAGGGAAGGGAAGGGAAGGGAAGGGAAGGGAAGGGAAGAGAAGAGAAGAGAAGAGAAGAGAAGAGAAGAGAAGAGAAGAGAAGAG